GGGATGGGTGTGTCAGAGGCAATGAGATTGGCACAGGATAGAGCAGGGTTTAGGGCTGTTGTACATAGGGTCGCTAGAGTCGCAAACGACTTGACAGCACATAACAACAACAACAACAGTACATATCTCACAACATTTGAAAATTTCATGATTCTCACATGTACAGTTTCTTACGAGTTTCCATGCCATATCATTTAATAACATCACTTGCATTAATTATACTGTGCTGGGAGTGTTATTAGGTGCCATCCAGTGGACTACAGCTCATAGTAACGCAATGAACAACTGATCAAAATCTTGCCTTATCTTGTGCCATACTCACCATCTCCCACATGCTCAAGTCCATGGTTGAAATAATTGTATTAATCCATCTTATTGAAGGTCTTCCTCTCTTTCCCTGACCTCTAACTTTGTTAGCACTGTGATATCTTTTTTAAGGACTGGCTTCTTCTGACCACATGCCCAGAGTATGTGACATGAAGTGTCACCGTCTTTGCCTCTAAGGAACATGCTGGTTACATGTCCTCCAAGATATATTTGTTTATTTTGGCAGTCCATGGGATATTCAATACTCTTCTCCAACATTACAGTTCAAAGGCCTCAGTTCTTCTTTGATCTTCCTTATTCACTATCCAACTTTCAGATGCATATGAACCAATTGAAAATACTATGGCTTACATCAGGCATACCTTAGTCTTTAAGCTGATTTTCTTGCTCTCTAATACTTAAAAGAGGTCCTTGACAGCAGGTTTATCCAGTTTTTTTTATTTCTTGACTACTGCTTCCTGAGTATTGATTGTAAAGTCAAGCAAAATGTCATCATTGACCAGTCTTTTTCTCCATCTATCGTAATGTTGCCTGTTGGTCCAGTAGGGAGGATTTTTGTTTTCTTGATGTTGAGATGTAATCCCTATAGAAGACTGTAGTCTTTGATCTTCTACAGTAAGTGCTTCAGATCTTCTTCAGTTTCTAAAAGCAGGATTGTGTCAACTGCACAGTGCAGGTTTTTGATGAGCCTTCCTCCAATCCAGATACCACATTCTTCTTCATAGAGTCCACTCTCTCAAATGATTTGCTCAATATACATATTGAGAAAAGGTTGAATCTTGATGCATACCTTTCCTGATTTTAAATTATCCCCTCTTCTGGTCTCACCACTACATCTTGGTTTATGTGTGGTTTCTTGTGAGCACATTTTAAGTGTTCTAAATTTCTGTTCTCAATATTATCTATAGGGATCTCTGGTGGCTTAGCCGTAAGGAGTTGTTCTACAGTCGCGAAGGCATCCAGTTCAAATCCTCCAGTTACTCCACAGGAGAAAGTTGGATAGTCTCCTCTCATGCAATTTACTGCCTCCAAAAACCCACTGAAGGATCAACTACGAGTGAGTTCTGACTCATGGTACACAACAACAAAATGATCCACATAGTCAAAAATCTTTGCCTGATCTTTAATACACAGACGTCTTTCTGATATTCTCCACTCTCAGCCAAGATCCATCTGACATCAGCAGTGATATCCCTAGTGTCACAGCTTCTTCTGAATCCAGTTTGAATTTCCAGCAGTTCCCTATCAATGTACTGTTCCAAACATTTTAAAATAATATTCAAAAAAATTATTTGTATGTGATATTAATGATACTGTTCTATAATTTCTTTTTTTTATTATTAAATTTTATTAGTTTTAATGAACATTTACAGGGATTTTGGGTTTTCATTCCTTCATTGCTGCACCATTCTCTCTACCATCCTCCCCAGTTTGTTCTTCTTCCCCACCATCCGAATGTCTGTTTTAATTGTCCAATTGCCACAGTGCTTGTCAAAGTCAGTTCTGATTAATCTCCTTTGTCAGTGTGTCCTTTGCCATTCCCTATCACTCCTCCCTGAGAGAGACTTCACCCTGAGTCATAAGGAAAAGGAGAAGGCATATTCTCTTAGCTACTTCCTGCTGAAAAGGGACGCTGTGGGTTTCAGGGTGAAGATCTTCTCTCACTACTCTAAAGGGCCCCTTTGGCAGTAGGAAACACATAGACTATTATGGAGTTTGATTTTGGAATTTAGATGCACTCTTATTGATTGTGCTTGGCCGTACATGTTCATATCCTTGAAGATGTATTATGGGGGGTGTTGCATCCTCTTTTTTTTCCCCACTTGCTGTGTGCTGTTGAATCAGATCCGACTGGCACAGGAGGAGATTGCCCCTCCTTCTCCAGCGGAGCATCTGGTGAATTCGAACTGCACGACTTTGGGATTGTAGTGCAGCTTCTTGTCACTAGGCTACCAGAACTCTCCTTGGATCCTCTTTTTCTGGGAATGGGAACAAATACAGATCTCTTCCAGTCAGTTGGTCTTCCAAATTTTTTGACATAAACTAATCAGCAAGTCCAGGGCTGCATTTGTTTCCTCAGTTGATATTCCATCAATTCCTGGATCCTTATTTTTTGTCAGTGCCTTCAGTATAACATGGACTTGTTCTTTAGGTACCATTGGTTCTTGATCATATTCTGCTTCCTAAAATGGTTTAGTGTCAACTAATTATTTTTGACATGATGTTGGTGTTAGGTGCAGTCGAGTCAAGTGTGACTCATAAAAAAAAACTGTGAACAACAAACCTGAATCCTGGCCTATTCTGTACAATCCTCATCATCTCTGATACACTTGAGCCCATTGCTGTAGTCACAATGTCAGTCTACCTCATTGTGGGTCTTCCTCTCTTTCACTGACCCTCCTTTTTCCAAGCATAATATCCCTTTCCAAGGAACAGCCTGTCTTAGAAACATGTCCATAGTATGAGAGACAAAACTATGGCAGTTCTCAAGCTGAAAAAAACTAAAGAAGGTAGAAGGAATACACAGAATCACTGTACCAAAAAGAGTCCATCAAGACTGAAAAATTTCAGGAAGTACCTTATGAACAAGAGCCAAGGGTAACAAAGCAGAAAGTTCAAGCTGCATTGAAGACGCTGGCAAGAAAATAAGGCCTTGGGAATAGATGAGATACTGATTGACATGTTTCAGATAACAGATGCAACCCTGGATGTGCTTACCACTCTATGCCAGGAAATTTGGAGGATAGCTGCTTGACCAA